CGGGCAGCAGCACGGCCGGCAGGGTCAGGGCCCACACCAGGGCACAGAGGATGGCCGAGGCGTGTCTGGGCCAGCAGCCCTGGTAGCAGGTGGGGAAGAGGTTGGAGAGGCAGCGCTCCACGCTGAAGGCCGCCAGCAGCCAGAGCCCCACCGCGAACCACAGGAAGGTGAGCACGAAGTAGAGTGTGTCCTGGGCACCCAGGGCAGCCTGAGCCACGGAGAAGCCCATGTGGCAGGAGAGGAACAGGAAGTCGGCGGCGGCCAGGTTCAGCAGGTAGACAGAGAAGGGGCCCTTCTTGATGTGGAAGCCGAGGTTCCAGAGCACCAGCCCGTTACCTACCAGTCCCCCAAGGCCCACGATCAGCGTGAGGTAGAAGACCACACTGTCAAAGGTTCTCCAGAGGCTGAGCAGCCCGAACATCCTGGCCGGCTCAGAGGGTGCTGGCGAGGGACCTGCAAGAGGGAGACAGACATGGTCCCCGGGCGTCTTTTGTGCCCCCGCTGGGGGCACAGGGAGTGGCATCCATGGCCCTGCAGATGCCCTCTGACTGCAGCCCCTGGACGTCCCTTCCCAGCGGCGGGACCTCAGCCGGGGCTCAGCCCTCTGCACCTCAGGTCAAGTGTGCCTAACGCCTCCCCATGCCTGCGGGCAGGCCCTGGGCTCCTGGCACGGTGCACTAACGTGCTCAAAAGATGTCCGCATCCCTCATGGATGTGGTGAGGGCGACGCTGCACCCTCCACCATGTGCCAGGGAAGGCTCTGCAGACAGAGGGGACGTGCATGGGGAACCCACGTGTGGGGCCTTCCTCTTCCCCCAGAGGTGGGAGCTTCTCCACGGTGGACCCCCACGGGGCTCCTACCTGGTGAGCCTAGACCAGCCTGCTGGCGAAGTCCTCCCCCCGGAGCGTCTCTGGAGGTGCCCAGGGAGGTGCCCAAAGGCAGAGGCTTCAGGTGGCCTGAGGAGGAGGGAGGAGGGAGGAGGGAAGATGTGGTGTGAGGAGTTGGAGGGAGCCCCCAGCTTTCCCTGTGCACTCCTGGCCTAAGCAGAGGCTGAATTCCGGGGCTCATGCCGCTGGCGGTGCACTTGGCGCACTCAGGAGGCTGCTCTGAAGCCTCAAACCAAGGGAGGGGCTTTGGTGATGGTGGCAGGGCCAGAGGGCCTCTCCAGGAGCCGCTAACACAAGGGGAGGGGCAGATACAAGCGGCCATTTGCAAGGAGCGAGGCCGAGGAAGGTCTCAGATGTTCTCAGAGCGCGAGAGATTGGCCATACGAAGCTGCACTGAAAGGCAGAGGGTCTCAGAGCAGCCCTTCCCTTTCCAGCCATCCCTCCAACCCCAGGATCCACACGGGTCCTGTTCTTAGTCCTGGGAGATGCATCAGGACCCAGGCTCAGCAGTGAGGGCATCAGCGGTGAGAGACACGGGAGAAAAGAGAGATAGAGAGAAACAGAGAGACAGGGGGAGACAGAGAGATGTAGACAGACATTGAGAGACAGAGACAGAGAGACAGAGACAGGGAGAGAGATAGGGAGAGAGATACAGAGAGACAGAGATAGAGACAGACAGAGAAACAGAGATGAGACAGACAGGGTGAGAGACAGAGAGACAGACAAACAGAGAGTGATCAAGCTGCCAACACACACCTCCCTGTCTGTCACACCTTTGCCTGGGCTGTGTCCCCAGCCCAGACAGCCCTCAATACCTCTTCCCTGACCCAGATCCTGCTCAATACCTCTTGCCTGACCCAGGTCCTGCCCTACTTCAAGGTTTTACTCCTTCTCAGGGACCTGCAACCTCCTGCAGCTTCCTCCGGCCCCCATGAGCCCCCTGCCTCATGCCCGAGCATCCCCCAGCACCTCCTTTGTGCTTGTCCTTGCCCCTAGTCGGAGGGTGGGGAGTGCGGCTCGGGCCTCGGCTCCTGTGCCTTGCCGTGGCCAGGCACACGGTGATGGTGGCCTGTCCTCCGAGCCCAGTCAGGGGGAGTGGGAGACCTCGGCTGGACCCTGGCTTGTGGTGGTGACTGTGGTGACTGGGGGTGGGGTGGTGGGGTGGGCACACACCTCCCCTCTCTGAGCCTCAATTCCCCCGAGGAGGTAACCAGACTCTCCTGGCTGTGCTCTGGCTCCGGCTCAGAGTCTGAGGGCTGGGGGTGAGGCCGGTGCTCGGGCCCCCGTGCTGGGGTGAGGGTGGGCTCTGTGTCTGGAAAGAGAGTTACAGAGAGGAGTGGCATGGTGGCAGGAGGGGGCATCTTCATTTTTATTAGAACAGGTTCACCTGCCTGGCCCGCTCCAGCAATGCCCTCGAGCTCTAGTGTCCACACGTTTCAACTCAGCCAGCATTCCCACCACCATCCTGCCCTACCTTCCCTTCCCAAAGGAAATCCAGACTTCCCAGCCAGCCCCATCCCCTGGGGAGCCAGGCTGAGAGCAGGGGCCACTACGGAGGGCAGAGGAGGGTGCCAGTGCCTCACCTGGGGGGTGCGGTGGGGACAGACAGAGCCTTCTCACCTGTGACGAGGCTGCCCTCAGCTCTCTCGGGCCCTTCTCTGCTCAGACCAGCGCTCATTGCCTGGAGGCTCCTCCCGGTCCCTAAATCCTCTCATGTCCTCTGGGACCCATCTGGCTGGACAGAGGATATCCGGCCAGTTCCCTAGAAGTGGCAGGGTGTGGCACTGTTCACAGGAATTGCAGGAATGAGCTAAAACAAAGAGTTGTTAGTGTGGGCCGGCCTTTCCTTCCTCCTCAGCATCTCTGGCAGGGGAACTGAAGGCACCAGGCCAGTGTCTTCCACCTGCTCCCACCTCACCTGGTGCGTGGAGGGGAGGGAGCAGGTGGATGGAGACCCTCTGTGCCCAGTGAGGCTGGACCACTTTCTAGCTGCCCCACTGATGTTGGGCTGCTCCTGCCAGTCTTTGGTTGGCTGTGGGCACAGGGAGCCTAGAACAGTGGGCAGGGCCCTGGCTGTGTGGCCTTGAGAGAATAACCTAACTTCTCTGTGCCTTGGTTTCCCCTTCTCACTGGACTGACCGTTTATGGACAGCGGGAAGCCTGGGTGCCCAGGCTTGGGACTGGCTCTCCTAATGGGTCAGCCGACCAGTGCGTCCGTGGGTGGTCTGCAGAGGCGGCCCCAACCCCTTCCTAAGGAGACCCCCTCACTGTCCATCTGTCTGCCTCGGAGGCTGGGCTCCCAGCCGTTGACGAATTGTTTTCTGCATTCTGCTCTGCAGAACACTGGACAGTGAGATGTTCTTTTTCCTTCCGTGGACTGCGCTCCACAGCTCCTGAGTGGGGTGCAGCGTGTGTTAGCACAAGCTAGAAATTCGGTCGTAAAGATGCTGTTTCTCTTCACATTTCTTAAATGGACTGGGCTTCGAAAATCACTTCTGTAACACCAGTCAGCAGCCTGTGGAGCTCTAGGAGGGTACCTGCCGGCTGCCCAGCCCCCAGCATTGTTGCACATGGCTTTGAAACGCACAGCACAGCTCATGTGGCCCAGGGGCACCTGCTGCCCCCCCGCCTGCCGGCTCTGCCCCAGATGCCGGCCCTCGCTGGTCTCCGGGACCTCTCCCGGCGCGGCTCCACCTCCTCCCTGAGGTCACTGTCCAGGCCTGTTTCAACTAGCCCCTCCAAGCCCTCCTTACCTGCCTCCTGTTTGGGTGAAACTTTGAGCATCTCTATTAACTTAGTTGGTAGCTCCGGTCCCCTGCAGTCGCCGGGGGCCCAGAGGGACACGCAGAGGGAGACCACCTGCCTGGGTCCCTCCTGGCCGCCTCGCCATTGGAGGTAGGATGGGGAGCTGAGCGTCAGCCACAGTGCGCAAGGTGAAGAGTTTTGATCCCTCGCAGATCCTCAAGCCAGGCAAGGCGCCCAGCTTCTATCCCAGGTAGCGGTCTCCTATCCCAGGTCTCCGACGGCAATCGCAACCCTGTGCCCATGGAGGGCTTCCCCTGTCTAAGAGCCACTGGGAGTGGGATGGGCTAATTTCTCGGGCCGCTTTCTATTGGGCACTTCAGACTGTGCTGGGCAAGGGCAGTTGTTTGAGGCAGCTTGGGGTGAAGCTCTTAGGGAGGACGTCCTGTGCAGCTCAGCCAGCCCCGGCCAGGCCCAGGCAGCCACCAACCATGGTTTCTCCATCACCCCTAACCCCTCCCACAGCCCCTTCTCGTGTTTGCCCACCGTCTAGGCCATGCTTCCACTTTCTCACCTGGGAGGCGTCTGGTGCAGGTGGAATGCATGGAGGGAGCCTCCGCTGGGGGAGCAGCTGCTCCCAGTGTTGCAAGGAGGACAGAGCCAATGCCTGCCCCATCCGTGTTGTGGCCGACGGTGGCCTAAGAAGATGTGTCCATGTCCCAGTTGCTGGAAGCTGTGCACGAGCTCTTCCTGGGGAAAAGGGCCTTGGCAGATACACGGATTTTGAGATGAGCTCGTCCTGGAGTATCCGTGTGGGCCCTAAATCCAATGACAAGTGTCCTTATACAGGAAAGGAGAGGAGGGACACTGGAGAGCAGGGGGAGGCCACGTGAGGTTGGAGGCCAGCAGGGGTTACACAGCCACAGGCCAAGGAGGGCCAGAGCCACCAGGAGCTGGAAGAGATGAGGACGCACCTTCCCCTGGAGCCCTTGAGGAGCGCGGCCCTGCCACTGCCTTGACCTCAGACTTCTGTCCTCCGTAACCAGGAGAGTAAAGTCCTGCTGTGTGAAACCACCTGGTTGTGGTTATTTGTTCTGGCTGATACAAGAAATGACTGCAAGGCAGGTGGCACGCGGGTACCGTTTGGGTGAGCGCTCCGAGTGAGCGCCGGCCACTCCACCGAGCCTCCCACGTGCCCCCACAGCGCCGTCTGAGATGGCGACCTTGTCATCCTTGCCCGCAGATGAGGAAAACAAGGTGCCGGAAACTTAAATTGCTTGTCCAGGTGGTGCAGACGCCCAAGTGTGGTTTGTCTGAACACGGCCATCCTGAGCTTGTCTGATGGTTTGCGCTGCGGGCCGGGGCTGCATGGCGACTCTGCACAGCTCACCCTACAGCAGCTCTGTGGCCCTGGGCAGTGTCCCAGTCTGAAAGTGTGGGCAATGGTTTAATCAGCTCAGGTGCGTGTGGGGACTCAGTGGTGATCTATGTGGGGGCTGCCTGGGGGTCACTGAGGAGGCAGGAACAGCGCAGGATTCAGCCGGTTCGCCAGGAACCCGTCTCTGTTCACGTGGTTTCCATGCCACCGTCCTATCTGACCTTCAGGACAACATCGGCCTGACTCAGCCCAAGGGAGAACACAAGGTTTTCCAGGTCCCCCAGGGCAGGTGGAGAGTGGGAACCGGGTGTCCAGCAGTGTCCTGCTCACCCTCACCCCCGCCTGTCTGCAGAGGAGCTTGACAGTGGGAGTGTTTTAATATGGGCATCATTGTTATTATTATTCAGATAGGC